TGCAAACATTAACTTTCTCGCTTTCACATCTCCTACGCAGATACACTCATCATCCTGGCGGTGTCAGACTACATCATCACTGCACAAGACAAACAAAAGGGGACGTAACGCAATCTTGGCGGAAACCAGTGCAAACAATGAAAATTCTCGTCTTAATGCCATTTACTCTGACGCAGCGCTTGCAATCAACATATAGCGATTGCACGGCTCGTAGCAAATCACCATCGATCCCGTTTGCATACACCCACAGATAGTTGCACGGCATCTGGTCATAGGCTTTCTCGTGACCAACAAGACACAAATAAACCGGACGAGCAAATTCCTACGATTTTCCAACAATATGCAATAAGGTAAAAGCGTCAAGCTTCTGAGATGGAAGCTACTCTACGCAAATGCCGATTAAATTACCCGCGCTTAGGTCGGTATTTGTTCTAGTAGGTTCCAACCAGGCTGAGAGAACCACTGAAAGGAAGCCTATCAGCGGAAGAGTGGCAATCCTCCGACTGAAGCTACAGGTTAAAATGTTGACCTTGTTACTGATCTATGCGCCCATCTATGAGAGAGAATACGAGTCCTTCCCGGAGGACGTAGCAGGTGCTCTTAAAGAAGGTGCCGACTGCCTAATCAATCATTCTGTTGAGTGATTTCAATGCATATGGCGGATCAGGTACTGTTAAATAAAAATGTGATTGGAAAGAACGGCGTTCAGGTGACCTCAATAATAACGGCATGAAGTTGTTGCAATTTGGTACAACGGCGAAGGCGGATTAACCTTGTCTGAGCATCAAAGCATGCATCAGTATACCTGGTACTGGGAAACTTGTGAAGTCGACGATAGCTTTGATGATGGTATCGTCTAACCTACGAAGCTCTGTAATAGATGTTCACACTGACAGAGGCGCAGAGCTATCAACCGATCACTACCTTGTTGTTGGCACGCTGCGCTGCAAGAAACGGAGTACCATACGAAGATCTGGTGGCAGAAGCAACCGGTGAACCAAATGGGAAACAGTGTCTTCAGTGGGCACGAGAGCGAAATTTGCAAACAACATCGCACGACGGTTTGAACAGATTCAGGAGATTACGGCTGACGGGGAAACCGAGTAAAAGACTAGCTTATTCGAGCTGACGCCGAATGCTACCATTTAAAATGAGTTCCAGAATGCAGGCCATACGGAGTGCTCCAATTATAGGAGGAGAGGGGAGAGTACCTAATTCAGCCTAACGGTTAAAGTCTACGCTATTGGAAAGGAGATGCCACAAAACAGTTGACTCTAAAATCGAAGAACATCAGTGTAACTTCGCATCACGCAGAAACAGCTCTGACCAGACGACGAAGGTGAGTTAATAAACATGTGGTCACAACGGAGAAAAACGGACAAACGGCGATAGAAATTAGCTTAAGCTGTGCACCATGGTACTGAAAGCAAAACAGTTTGTACGTGGAAAAGGACAAAGAAGGCAGAATTCAAACAAGCAGAAATTGTGGCTTAGCCATAACATCCTCGTCTTTCGCTAAGAAATTACCATGACGTATCTACGCCATTTTCGAGAATAAATAAGAATGGCGTCATCCAAATCTTTCCACGATTCTAACTCAAATTATCCTTTACTCGACTAATAGAACAGCACGAAGGTGAAACAGCAGACGAGGTCAACGAGTTTAAATACACAGTTCCTTCATTTCAAGCAATTAGAGTTTCATAAGAGAAACACTCATGCTTCCAATGTTTTCAGTAACCGGGACATATTAGAGTTAAGGGAGCTATTTATTTTCATTGAAGCTAGCCTGCCATTACCTTTGTCAAATTTGCACTGCTGTATATCTGAAAACCACCGTTTCAACAAGAGTCCAAGAACGACGCTTGAACAGTTAATTTCGACGCATCATCAGTATCAGCAAGAGTATTAGTCGATCCACTGGGGTTGAAAATCTCTAAGATTTTGACATAAAACTGCTTAAACTCTATCGTACACGCTGCCCCACGGCTGACACGCATTGGAAGCCAATATACACATCCTAAAGCAGCTGTAGGAGGTGAAGTTTCTTGCGACGAGGTTAAATGACCTTTCCCACAACCATGAACATTGTCTAAATCAATCTGAGAAGCCAAAACTAAGAATATCTCATTAATCGGAGTACTACGTCCTTGACCCTGATACCCTGGATGAAGATGACAACAATGCTGCTCCAGGAAAATTCTTCATTTTATTTTGTCATCGATAAGCAGGTACTGTTACGGGCTGCTTTCTGGAACCTACACCATATATCTTTATCCAAGGACAATTTTGTGTGTCTTACTCATTGCCATTCTTGGTTTTCCGCTCTTGCAATGAAGTCACATTTTCTCGCTTATGCTTTTACCCAATCGTTCGATAGTTCATCTTTCCTTATTATTCCAAACATAATGCTTCCTATTACGCGCTGCGTGCTCCATGGTCAGAGAACAACTTTCATGCTTACAGTAATACCTTGGTATTAAGAGCAGAGAGTTCGAGGACTTGCCGCTTCAAACAATACAGCAGTTTCGCAGATACGAACATTTTTTATCGTGGAAAAGAATTCCGTATCATTCTTCTGTTGATCTTTTGGAGTTTCTGTCCGTCCGTTACACAGATCAACTAAGCAACATAGGCATAACTTTCCCCTTTTCAACCTGGGGTCGGCTTTAGATCAATTTTAAATTTTGCTTTAATGTGGTTTTTCGATTTTTGGATTCGTACTGTTCCGAACATATGCATCTTCAATAGCTAGGCATAGTAGAAAAGAAAGTTGGCCGTACATAGAGTTGAAACCTGTTAGACAATTGGGTTAAACACATGGCGGAGCAAAAGACAAACATTCAAAACATGGATGAACAAAATAACGGCAAATGTGTAATCGATAAGGATTTTCCTTCTACAATACGTTAATTGCCTCCCGCTGAGAAAAGTATAACGAAATCTAAGATACACACGGCATCACAATCAGGGAGATTAACGAGCGACGCGACTCAACCAAAAGCAGATTTCATGGTATATCGTACCACCTCCTTCCTTCTAGTTTCCTAAGGAGCCATTTAAGCAAACCACGGCTCAATGGTATTTGAGTACCTGCAGTGCCAGACTCATCTCGCGTCGTTTTATTTGCTGAAGTCACCTTGTGCTCCTCGTGAACGATGTTTCATAATTTACTAATCGTTTTACGCTGCCGCATAAACATCATCAGCCATCCATGCCTGAGGGTACGTATACTTGTATGTATCGAGGGGTCCTCTATGACCCTAGACATACCTGCAGTTCGTACGCCCCGGTGTGTCAAATAACACTGACTCCCTTGAGACTAAGATTCACGGCACATCGTACTGCCCCTAATTTAACGCGAAACCTGACACTGGAGGAATCATTTACTATTTT